TTATTTATTTTGCTTATAGGTGCAGCTAATGAAATTAATCATTTCAATCTGTTACAACATAAACAAAATATAATAAATAATTTTGAGTTATATGTTTAAATAAACTTTTACTAACACTGCATTCCCCTTAGCATCATATATCCACCTAATGTTAATTTGAATTCCTATATCGAAGAATTTCTTCTCAAAACCTTGGTACGTCAAAATTTTTTTAGAAATATAAAATTAATTTTTTTCAGAAAAACCACAATGTAAGTTTATTGTAAACCAATTCTTTTTTGTTTAATGTATAATTTTGTAGTTGTCTTACTTTAAAAATAAAATTATCATTGGTGTATTTAGATTTATAGTTAACTATCATTATACATATTTATTAGTAGTTCTTATGTTTCGTGACTTTACTTTTTAGAGTAATATTTTAGAACATATTTTTAGAACACACTCAGTTCTGAACTTGTTATATCGAAATTTTTTAAGCCCCCCCCCTCAACTTTGAGATATAGTATACTGTCCTTGCATAATTCATAGGTTACAAACAATCATTATATTTGGATTGTATCATTTGTACTGATTTTAGAGATAAAAAATTAGTTTTTGTTTCATTGTCTGATTATAAATTAAGGAAATTATGGAAAGTTTTTTGGTAGAAATAACATTGTGTGGTTCCGTGACCGGAGTGCACCGTTCAATGAATCACGTGATGGGGTTGCTGGTTTCCGCGTGTAAGAATGCGATTTGATTACTCAAAATCGAGAGATTAAACAAGATCCGAAAAAAACAAAATCCATTTTCAAAGTGTGCTGGCAAATACTTCTAAACGTGGTTCATTAAGGATAAAAACGCAAACATTTTAAAATACGTTTATAAGATTATCCGTCTAAAATAAAGTATATTTATTTAGAAAAAGAACATCTTTTGAGTTTGGATCAGGAATTTCAAGTATCGTTTGCTTTAATAATTTAAAATTGCTCCCCTTAAACCATTACGAATACAGAATATGTCGCTAAAATCTGATCAACCATACCATTTTTTTTCCTAACCAAGTACCATTTTAATACTTACTACAGAATTATTTTTAAGGGACAGAAAGTTGCCTTTAACATGGATATCCCAAATTTAGCTATTACTGCTTTTGTGTAAGTTTCACCGGTGATAAATGATACAGTAATACTGTCAGGTTAACTGTAGAAGATTTTTGTTTCGTTCGAAGCAGTTTTGTTTCGTTCAAACGATCTTTCACCAACACCGATCTGCTGAGTTATATTGTGATGCGCAGTATTTGTTGAGAGCTTTTGTCAAAGACTATTGCACTCACTTCGTTAATTTTTGTCTTCCTTATGACATTCGGGGCAATAATGGAAGATTAAAAAAGTTTTAAAGCTTCTGCATCGTCTGATCAGCTCAGCATGCTTCCTCACAACTGATCCTCGTTATTATTTGAATGAAACAACAAAAGCTCATCTTTTCTTTCGTCCTGATGTTCCTCGAAAGCAGACGATTCTTTATTATTAAAACGCTCTAATCTGTTGCCAGGAATAGAAGAATCTTTTCATCTAATAGAAATCACGTAACCAAGGATTCAGTTGTATAACCTCAACCATTAGGCATAAACAATTACTGTCCTTTTACGATTCCCCCTGCTCCATCTACAAGATCTGAGCACAATGCAACAAAAGTCTTCGTATCACAAACACGAGTTCTGAGCAAACGATAATCTCGGCGATTATACTTAATTGTTGGCAGTCCTGAACAATGATATACGCGGTCGAGATTAACAAGGCTAAATCCTTCCTCTGTTTTGTTCCGCCATAATGGCCGGAAGGAAGGTATTTTGGTTCTCAAAAAGGAGACGCAATAGTGTCGTGTGTCACTTAAAAGGAAAAGAACTTAGATTTTATTTATTCTTATCGATAAATATGGAATATTAATGATTT